CCCCCTCCTTAACTGGCTACTGACAGTTTTACCAACGAGTGGTTGCTATTGGCGACTGCTACTCCCGAGTACTTCCATCGCTTACTGGGAGTGAATTTTATGAATTTTACTGAGTAATTTTAATAGGTTTTGACCCCCTTCATAACTGTTTCACCGTGTTACTTTTAAGTGGTGACATTTCAAAAGAGTTAGAATGGTCACTGGTCACTAATCCGAACCATGGATATGTTGTCCCTCTCGCTACCTGAAGACATATTCCTGTCGGTTTAAATAAAGCACTAGACTGGATTTCTGAGGGGGGACGATGTACAAATTTAGAGAATAACCATTTTTGGACCATGTCCAAAAAAATCAAAATCACTTCGTCCCAGTCTAGCTCCTTTTGGACGACAAAAACAACCTTAAAAATATCCCCGACATAGCGATGACCAAAAAAGAAGCAAAAGAGGGGGTTTTACAAAATTTGGATAATGCACAACTACATGAGATAATAAACACATCTGTTCCAGGCTTTCTTTCACATACCCAGGAAAGCACCAAACTTCGCACGTGCAGAGTCTTATGCGTTTTGTGCTATGCAACAGCTACACGAGGCGCAACTTTTCACGGGGCTGTGTGTGTGTGTGTGTGTGTGTGTGTGTGTCCGAAGCAACTTCTATAATATACGCGCCGCTTTGTTAGAAAAATATTTGCGTTTTTCAATTTAGAGGAAACAGAAAAAATCTCAAATTCAGCAAAAAACACGGTCCAAAATTCTAATTCCCGTGCTATTTAATAATAATTATGCATCTAATCTTATCTGTCAGAAAAACACAAACGCAGATTTGGTCTAAAACATGGCCCCATGAAGCTTACACTGGTATTACACCACGGTTTTTTGGAATGTTTTAAAAAACACAATCTTCCATGCTTCTAAAAACCTAAAAGTTTCAGCATCGAAAAATCGTATTTCCGCTTTTCCGGAACTAAAAATTGACATATAACTCGTAGATTTCTGCCAATTTTTCGTCTATGCTTAGCATAATCAAGGCTCAGGCCTAGCAGTTAAACGAACATGGATATAATTCATACATTTTTTTTTTGCCAAAAACAAAACAAATAAAACAAAGTTCATTTCTCAATAACGAACGGATGTCTGAGTGCTTCGCCACATGTTATACGTTTTGAGCTATCCAATGTGACCATTGCGTCCAGCAATGAGCGAAATTGCTCCAGTTTCCGTAAACCTTCCTGAAAACTTTGGCTCCTTGAATTCCTTATCCAAAGATAATAAAACCAAGAAATGGAAAAAGGCAAACCTTATCAAGTTCCTGATCACCGAGTAACTCATTTTCCAGATTTCGCGTAACTTTAACAACCGACATTGTGGTTATCTGCAAAATTTTAACTGTAAATTCCAGGAAAATAAATTACCATAATCATCATCAGTACAGTGAAAAATCACTATTATTTTGATTATTATCACTATCAATAAATTAAATATATCTTCAGAAAGCTTTAATTTTTTACATACAGCGGAAAAGGAGTATCAATTCGGAGCTAGATATTTTATGAAGTACATTTAATCCATCAAATTTTTTGTACCTCTTCTTTTCCTTTCCAGAAAGACAAAAAAAGTAGCCATGATTTACCAGGGAATCAGTTACCGGTTCGATTACCGCAGCCGCGCAATAGTTACCAGCAAACGTTGGCAGATCCAAGGAGGGGAGGGGTCTCTCGTCCGCTTCCCCCTCCCCCACTCCCTCCCGGGAGCTCAGACAGCAGCTGTTTTACCGTAGAAAACTCTGTTCGATATCGCCTGTTGCCTCTTTTCTCTCTCC